TGTTTGTTTGTTATTCTTTGTACTGTTTAACATCTGTGTTGAATTTATAAATGGAAGTGAAACAACTTTCAGATGTTAGTAAATACCCTTTGCATTTGCACTGGTACGCTCCATACTTGTCTCCCATCACCCCCTGACGTGTGCAGTAGCCTTGACCAGGCAGCACAAGATCATCTTCATTCTTCAAGTTTTGATATTCAATTCTGACTTGGCTGGTAAAGAAGATGTAAAGAAGTTAAATTTTTATGAAGCGTGAAATGTGCAGCCAGTGTTACAGTTCATAGCATGTAAATAGTTAGCATTATAGTTACATTTGATCTTTTTATGTTATTGTTACAATATGACAGTCTGGAAAAATTTGTGCTGTTTTTAGAGTGATGATAGTTATAGTGTTTCTATTACATTAATTATTCTTGTAAATTTGTGTTAATATTGCAGATGTCTTTTACTCTACTTTTTGGTAAATTTTTAGAATATGTTGAAAGAACTGACAGTACAATATTTGAAATAATTCGGAAGTCATGGAAAGTTTGAATGGAACAGACAGTCTGATTTGCAAAGTACTACCAACCTGATGCAGATGAAATTGTTTTTTTATGCTGGATTAGGGTGAAAGTTACATTCTCAGAGAATCTGATCCCATGTCCTGTAAACTTAAATTACATTGGTTTTGCGGTGGTTAGCTTTTGCCTTGTGTTCTGAAATATTTATTTCTGGTAAAAGTTATACTTTTTGGGTGAAATATTTTCTTTTGTGAAATTCATCACCTTTACATGTCTGTACAATTCTTGGAGTAATAGTGGTTCAGTACCCAGACATATTTTATTGGGGATTAAATAATATCACAATTGATGTGTTACTTTTGCATGCAGATCCATCACCCACAGACTTGATTGTGAAGTTCCTGTCCATTGCCCCAGATACAAAGGAAGCAGAATCCAAACAGAGTGAGAATGAACCATCAGAAAACAGTAAAAATGAGGCGCTTGGAAGTAAAAGAAGGTATAAATACTTAGCCCTGAAAATATTAGCCCTGAAAGTTGCAGCTTTCTTGAAATGGGATCTTACTCTATTAGAAAGAAGGTAAGAATACTAGACAAAATAGACACATGGTTTATGAATAATTCATTATCATTAAATTTTAACAAAACTAACTATGTGCATTTTTCATCAAAAGTAAATACTACATCAAACATAAATCTAAACGATAAGGATGTACAAATTAAAAATACTTGTAATACAAAATTCCTAGGACTAGTCATAGATAATACCGTATCATGGGAAGATCAAATAAATCAGTTGGTAACTAAGCTGAATGCAGCTACTTATTCTATCTGCAGTTATGACTCAGGAGAGTTTAAGGATGATTTATTTTGCATATGTACATTCCAGTATGTCATATGGAATAATATTCTGAGGCAATTCGGCTTATAGTAATTTAATTTTCAAAATCCAAAAATGAATAGCGAAAATAATTATGAAGGCAAGAAATAAGGACTCTTGTCATCCATTGTTCAGGCAGTTAAATATTCTGCCCTTATATTCTCAATATATATTTTCTGTATCAATTTTTGTAGTTAAGAATTTAGATATATTTAAATTTAATTCTGCTACACACAGCATTAACACCAGACAAAATTTTGACTTACATTTTCCAAGTAATAAATTAGGTAAAGTGCAGAAGGGTGTATATTATTCAGGAATTGGGATGTTCAATAATCTACCACAAGGCATCAGAAATCTATTAAATGATATTACTAAATTCAAACAGGCTCTAAAAGAATTTCTTCTTGCTGGTTCATTTTATTCTCTAAATGAATATTATGAATGGAACACAAGGGGTGATCTTGGTTCTTATAAATAGTATCTAAAATTAACCTTGACAAGTCCTATTAACTAACTAAAAATATATAAATAATCATCTAATTTAGATCTGCATACATACCAACTATGACTTTTATTAATTTTAACATTCAATCTTTTGTTCTGTTATGAATTTATTTATTTATGAATGTATTTATTACCATAATAATTTTTAGTACACTTCTGAGATAAGTTATTTATTCCATTTATTGTTCATGCATGTTAGATGTTTTTATAGTTTTTCTTTTGATGTGTGAGTGATGTAACATACATTATTTGATATTGTATTGTTTATTGACAATATACATTCATATGCATTGTTTTTATAAACTAGATGAATTTTATAAGATAAATGGTTAATATGTTTTCATCTAGTATTTAAGTCTTATTGTAGTCACATTTTATTATGTTTAGTGATTGTGTTGTCTACATTTTATATTATGTTATTTTGACTTGTTCCAGTGATTGGTTGGAACGTTTGTTTTGATTTTTGACCCATTCTATATTCAGTGGTGTGTCAACTTGTTTCTCGCCCTGTAATTGGATCTACTTGAATATAAGAATATATTAAATTAAATTTACAATGAAATGGAATTATGTCACATTTTTGGAATCATATTCATGGCTGTTTGTAGTTCTTGCATAAAGATTTCAGTTTCAACATTTGCCACACTCAGAATCATTTCTCCCTCACTTCCCATTACCATCATTTTGTGATATCTCCAGAATTTTGGCCAAGTACCTTGATATACCATTGAATACTGTCATATTCTTGTTATTCAGTTCATTAATCATGAAGCAATGCACGAAGACTTAAAGATTCAGGTTCAGTTGCTAACCACTGTGGTGCAATTTTTCACCATAACAGGAGAAAAATGTTTCCATAACATTACTTTCTGAGTGCCACAGTGTGTATGTTTACTTGTTGAAAAAGAGTCTACATAGAAGCTCATTTCTTGCTTAATATGCAGACATTGCCATCTTCTGCCAACTGTAATTTTGCATAATTACCGAAGGGTACTTGCATCTTACTAATAATATTTTCATGTGAGAGCAGTGTGACTATTGGTGGGATATGGATTTTGGATTGGATTTATTTGACCACTTTAACACATGACTCATGACTACACTTAATTATAGCACCATCACTATTCTCCACACTTTATTGATTACTGTATCACACAAGTGTTCCCAGTCTGTTACAGTCTCCACAAGTCGTTACTTGGTAATGTATGCTACTCATGGAGAATGTTCCTCTTCTGTGCTCATGTCCTCACTGTGTGGCAGATATCTCACACCAACCTCCTAGCCTTCACAGACTGACTGACTGACTGACTGCAGCTCCCACTTTATCGTCACGGACCATACAGAAAACACTGTTTCCAACAGTTTGTTTATTGTTGCATGTAGATTTGTTGCAGTGGGAACATGTTTGTTTTGTGTTTGTTACTTAGTAGCGGGTCTGCACATTGCAATTTGATAACATGATGCCTGAAAGTCAGAATCTTGGAGTCAAAGAAATGTTGCAGAGATATCCATTGCCAAGTAACATCAAGCACTAATTGTCAATCATCGTGTATTATCATGACAGTGAAAGAGCTATTGATGTTAGTGATTTTGTGCTCCAACAAACTGATATATAAGTAGCTGGCGTGCTAACAAAGGAGTCTACAGTATAAGAATCAGAAACTTAACAGCATGTTTGAGATAACAGGGTCACCAAGGAATCAACCAAGGTTAATATAAGACATGTTATAGATGAGATCATGAAAAGTTTAGACGTTAGAGGTAATTTTTCCACAAGGTTAAGACTGTGTTGTGCATATGCTGATGACATACTCATTATTGCGAGAACCAAACAAATATTGATTAACACCTTTGAAGATCTTAAAAAAAGCCTCAAAAAATTATGGGTTGTTAGTCAACGAACAAAAAACTGAATTCCTACACTGTTCTAACAAACCTCAAATAATCCAAGATCTCAGACGCAGTGACGAAAATATAGAAGAAGTTTCTCATTATAAATATTTAGGGCCTATGGTTAATTCAGATAAACAATCGAACAAGAGATTAAAGAGAGGTTAGCAATTGGAAATAAAGCATATGCTGCACATTTAACACTGTTTAAAAGTAAACTTGTTTCTAAAATAGCCAAATTAAAATTAAACCAGATGGTAATTCAACCAACAGTAACCTATGCCTGCTAAACCTGGACACTCAAAGGAGCCATGAAACACAGACTTTTAGTCTTTGAAAAGAAAATTCTAAGAAAGATCTTCAGGCCCTCAAGAAACCATAATTGCTCCCGGAGAATTAAAACAAATGGTGAACTAGGTAATCTAATAAAAGGAAGGGAAATAGTTAACTTCATCAAAGCCCAAAGAATAAGTTGGCTTGGACACATCTCAAGGATGGAGGCTGGACGAACAGTTAATAGAATATATGAGTGGCAGCCACACACCATAAGAAAGAGGCGCTGACCTAAGATTAGATGGAAAGATGACGTAAGAGTAGACCTAAAGGATTTGCGAATTTATAACTGGATAACTCGCACACAGGACAGAAGTAGTTGGAAGGAAATGGTTGAGCAGGCTAAAGCATTCAAAAAATGAAACTATCGAGCCTTATGAAGAAGGAAGAAGAATATCACAGATTACAAAATGATTGTGGGTACTTATAAACTATGTAATTATTTGTAAAGGTGATTCAGTGTCCAACAAATCCACTTACCTCTATGAACCCATGTGTTGTCAGTCATGTGACAACTGGTGTCAGGAGTGGGATTGTTGGATTGCATCGGTTGGAGTGTCTTACTAAATGATATGGGAGAAAAAAATAAATGCTAAACAAAATGAAGGCTGCCTGAAGTGCCAGCTAAGAGAGGATGGAGGTGGCAATAAGTGCCATCAGATCTTCCCACCAGTGTATTGTTGGAAGGCATCCTAGCATCTGTTGACTGGTGGATCAGAGCCTCCATGAGGAGCTTGGCAACAAGATACAAAGGACAATAATGCTGAATGAAGCCTTGCAGTGGTGGCTTGAGCTGGAACTGGCAGAACTCAGATTCCAGGTTGGTCATAATGGTTGCAGGACCACAGCAACCAGAGTGACTAGGACAAAACTGGAAAGTTTCAGTGGATCCATGTCCCATGACAGAGCACAACAACTGGACTGACTGGGAGGAAGCCACACACTTACTGGCAGTCCTGCAGGGCAGGCCTCAGATGTTCTACACAGCATCTCTTCAGGAGCGATATAAAAAGAAATTATTGAGGCACTTGAGGGCTGCTATGGGGACCACCAGTTGGCTGCAGCATACTGTCCCTAGCTGAAAGCTAAGACGCAGCTGAGTGACCACTCAATGGAAGAGTTTGTTACCACCTTCAGTCACTTGGCCCACTGAGCCCTTGTTGGCCTGCCCCAGTAGTTCATTCACAGGGAGACAGTCTCTGCACATGTCTGTAGGATGAGGGACCAAGATGTGAAGTTCCCCCTCATGGGTGGCAAGAGGACACTCAACAAGGCCTTCAGCCAGGCCCTGAGGCTAGAGGCCGCAAAGGTGGCAGCTGGATTGGCAGCAAGGCCTGGAGCACCATTGGAACCACACTTGTCAGGGACTGAATGCAGCAGGACTGGGCAACTTGAATGCTTGCCCCCAGAAGAATGTCAGCCATGCCCCAGGAGATGAATAGAGAGCAGCACCAAGAAGGTGCTGGTGCCGTCACTCCTACCCACTTGTTACATGCTCAGCATGTTGGCAAGACTGGATAGGGACAAGTCATGTCTTCTGACCATTGACACAGGGGCCAGGATGGTTGGACTATACTGCCATAAAGAGGAGGCAGTTGGGTGAAGGTGATGTGGGAGTAAAGGCTGGACAGCATCCAAAGCAGAGAGACAAAAGTTGGACTAATGTGGCATTTTGGTACATTCATGGGGACTGTCATAGATAACAGGGAGCCCCATTGGAGCAGAGAAAGTGGTGGCGTGTCTGTAGGTTTCTTGGGACAGTCAGCCTTAAGGAGGGAGCAATGTGACATGATGCCTGGAAGTCAGAATCGTGGAGTTGGAGAACTTTTGTAGGGGCATCCATTGTTAGGTAACGTCAAGCAGCAATCCCTGACTGCCATGTATGTGTTCAGCAGTAGAGGAACTGTTGGGATTGGTGTCTTCCCATTGGTCTGCAAAAAAGCAGTATACAGAGAGCTAACAAAGAAGTCCTTGTTATCAAAACCCAAATTACTAGTAGGGTCTCTCTGACTACAGAACCAGCAAGGAATGAACCCAGTATAACAGATTATGAAGTTAGAGTGAATACTTGGAAACTGTATACTCATTTATAAATGAGGTGATTCACTATTCAGTAAAACCCAATTACAAATCTGAGCCCCACATGTAACCACTATCATGTGACAGTATGCTTTCAAGGGCTTAAGTGACTACCTCACCTCACCATCATATGGTTTAGTTATCGCAGAGAGCATTCTGGTGATCATGGTATGGAAGTAGTCATTATAAGATGATGTGAGGTTCAGTTAATTTAAATTTATGGTTTAAATTCTAATTTTGTTTGTTTACTCTTCGAACATTTCCAGTTGTACAATATTCTGATAGAGTTTGGAGTACTCATGAAATTAGTTAAACGAAACATATGGTAAAGTCTCAATGGGTAAACATCTGTCTGATGATAGTATAAAACAAGGAAATCGTTTATCGCCACTACTTTTCAACTTTGCTTAAGAATATGCCATTAGGAAGGTCCAGGGAAACCAGGTGGGACTGAAATTAAATGGGACACATCAGCTGTTGGCCTATGCCGATGGTGTGAATCTACTCGGTGATAATGTACGAGTAGATGCCATAAAGAAAAACATGCAGACTTTAATAGATGCTAGAAAAGAAGTTGGTACAGAAGTAAACACAAAGAAAACTAAGTATATATTGCTGTCTCATCACCAGAATGCAGGGCAGAATCGTGGCATAAAGATAGGTAACAGATGTTTTGAAAATGTGGCACAGTTCAAATATTTTGGAACTACAATAACAAGTCAGAACCTGATTCAGGAGGAAATTAAGAGGCAATTGAACTCGGGTAATGCTTGCTACCATTCAGTCCAGAACCTTTTGTCTTCTCGTCTGCTGTCCAAAAACATAAAAACTAGAATATACAAAACTATAATTTTGCCTGTGGTTATATATGGGAATGAAACTAGGTCTCTAACATTAAGGGAGGATGAGAACAGGGTGTTGAGGAAATATTTGGACCAAAGACAGATGAAGTGACAGGAGGTCAGAGAAAACTGCATAATGAGAGGCTTCATAACGTGTATTCTTCTCCAAATATACGTAATTAGAATGCTCAAGTCAAGGGGACAAGATGGGCAGGGCATGTAGCATGAATGGGGAAGAAGAGGAATGCATATAGGATATTGGTGGGAAGCCAGATGGAAAGAGACCACTGGAATGACCAAGGTGTAGGTAGGTGGACAATATAAAATGGATCTTAGAGAGAGAGAGAGAGGATGGGATGGTATGGATTAGATTGATCTGGCTCAGGATAGGGACCGCTGGAGGGCTCTTGTGAACACAGTAATGAACCTTCATGTTCCATAAAATGCTGGGAAATTCTTGAGTAACTGCACAAGTGGTGGCTTCTCAAGAAGGGCTCCACTCCTTGAGTGAGTGACAGTTCCAGTTGAGTTAATTTTGAAGCCATTAACCTATGTACTGACTTAATCCAACCAGTAATGACATTCCTCTGCAGAATTTTGGGCATCCCTTCTTTTTGTTACAAAATCTGGTAACACTGGATTTGTACTTGGAATTTTACTCTAAATTGACATCTTATTTCATATTTCACAGGGATTGTAGTAAATAAGTAAACACTGAGAGTAATAGTTAATGTGTGTTATGATGCAGTGTATGTGGCAGAACGTCTTTGTCTTAAAGGGGTCTGGCTTGAGAATAGATGACATCTTGGATAAGGCTGTTAACCCTTTGGAAGGAACATCAATCCTCATTTTATTACAACACTGAGCAGGTGTTGTTCATTCCTGCTGTCTAGAGGAGATAGGGAGGCTTCCTTCATAGCTGTCCAAGAATGGGGCATTCCTTCCTGTTAGTTGAAGGTATATATTGAAGAGCTTTGGAAAATTTGTGGAGGGACATGTTGGGCTTGGACGGGAAACAGTATAGGCTGATGACTGGGTTGGTGACTGGCCACTATTAATTGGGGCAGCACCAAAATATGGGCTTTTCAGAAAATGTCATGTACAGGAAATGTGGGCATTAGGAAGAATTTTCCTGCCATACACTTTGTCAATTCCAAGGTCTGGCTCTTGACAGAACAGAAATTTTTGGCTCTGCATAATTAGAGGCAATAGACATCAGGAAGGCAATGGTCAGTTTGGTTCCGGCTGTGCATTATGTTCAGGATCTGTGTATGGTCCTAACAACATGAGGCTTGCACATTGGACCTAGTAATTGTTGGAGTGCTTGGGGCAGCTGCAGTGTCCCTCTCAAATTAACACCAGTACAAATGTGTCTGTGTCATGTTTCATTGTGAAACCTCTTTCAGTTAATACACGAGTATATTTAAGTAAATTTTAGGAATTTGATTCTCAAGAAATCATAAGTTTCGGTAATACATAGTAACGTGCATTTTATCACCATGCAGTGTAACAAAAGAATGGGGAGGGAGGAACTACAGAATCAAGCAGTCATACAGTGAAATGTACACTGCAATAACAAGTTAACACTAGTATCTGAAGTATTCCTTTATGTTCAAGGTTGCCTTTGCCAATGCAGTTGACGCTTCTACAGGATTTATTATACCTAACACTGGAGAAAGATGCAGATGTGGAGATGCACCTGGAGCTGGATTTGGGTTCTAGTCCAGGCCATGTTGTGTTTGCTATATCCCTGTATCATCGATGGGTTCTGCGAGCTGTTATGTACAGTCGCCTTGCTATGAAGCAGACACGCCAGCCATATATACCTGTGTGAGTTCAACCTTATGTATAACTGAAAAAAATGTGTCTCAATTGCATCAAGAGGTAATCTTGTTTGGTTCCTGGTTGGGAGTCAGCTGTCATAACTAGTGATCTTCCTCAGTTCCAGAAAATGTAAGGACAGTACTTGAGAGTAGCCCGTGACTGCTTCCTCCTGTTGTACTGTTGTACTGTATCTCATGTAGAACTGAATAACCAACCAATTTAAATCTGTCATAAGAGGTTAAACAGTTGCATCCAGTGTGAATAGTAAAGATTTTTCTTATTTCAGTCCTTCATCCCTTACATGTTTCGGTCTTTATGACCATCCTCAGAGGGACATCAATACAATCAAAAGCCACTATTACAATGTGTGTTTGAATGCCAAGATATATACATACAGTGCTGACAAAGTGCAATGGGTTTAGAAGCTAATGTTTTAACAACTACATCGGTTGTCTTAATATGTTAAAATATTTACAATTAGTTTGTTATAATTTTTGTTGGAAATCGTAAACCAAGTTGGTTCGTGTCCTTTTTTCTTCTCTTGAAGGAGGTAAAATGTGTGCTGCCTTGTAGTTCTGTTGTATTTGAGAAGAGGATTCTTTAATGTCGTCCCTGCAGGTGTTTGCAGTGCGCTGTGTTTTTTAAATCTAACTTGGCAAGAGAATCATGTGAGAAAGAAACTGTGGCCCACATAGAAGATGGTATACTGTTGTCCTTGCTTGACGATGACTAGTAACCACCAAGGAGAAACATTGCACTATGTGATAGATGGATCAGTGTTATTTTAATTAACAGGTGACTTCTCCTGCTGGTTAAGGTTGAGTGATTTCCATTCATTTGATGAAGTTTTAGGCATTCACAAAGTACAAGGGTAAGTCAATAAGTAAGTTACAAATTGATATAAAACTTAAACAAATATGAGTACTGATTTGAAAAATTATTTTCTTTTTCAACATAATCTCCCTGTACATTGAGGTACTTGTCCCATCGTTTCACAAGCCCCTGAAAACCAGCAGCATAAAATTCATTGGGGTCCTGTTGGAACCAGGTGGTGACTTCCCTTTCTACAGCTTCATCGTCAGGAAAATATTCCGCCGAAAGATGATGTTTAAGAGGGCCGAACAAATGGAAGTCACTTGGAGCAAAACTCATCACCTGTGACAATTTGGGTAGCATATCGTGTCCTTCATTGTGCTAGCGATTGAGATGCTGTAATGCCAGACCAATTCTTTGCATTTTGTGTTGTGGGGTCAGCGTGCACAGACTTTGTGAAAACTTAACCTGTCATGCGACTTCCACTTGTTCTGCCCTCTTAAACCTCATCTTTTGGCTGAACATTTCCCCAACGATAAAGCTGTAGAAAGGGGAGTCACTGCCTGGTTCTCACAGCAGCCCAAAGAATTTTATGCTTCTGGTTTTCAGGGGCTTGTGAAATGATGGGACAAGTGCCTCAGTGTACAGGGAGATTATGTTGAGAAATGAAAGCATTTTTAAAATCAGTACTCTTATTTGTTTAAGTTCTATATCCATTTGTAACTTACTTATTGACTTACCTACATATAAAAATGATGCAGATTATTTTCTGCATCTATATAATTCAGATTATTCAAATTTGTAATGATCATGGAACATAGTTGTTACTACTGGAAATTCTACATTGGCTAAACTTTAATTTATCCAATTACATAGGGTTTTGAATTATTTTATATTAATGGAATGAGGTGTATTGTAAAAGGAGCTGATTTTAAGAAGAATTGCTCTTTGTAGGTTAATTAGTAATTAGACCCACAAAGCATGAATTGTTCTTATTTTGACAGCTAGAAATCATAAGAACACAATAAATTTTCAAGTTTCACCCAGAGAAATGATTTGATATCACTTGATTTAACTGATACTTCAGACTTTGATATCAAGAAAACCAGAAGAGTCATTATGATGTATTGTGTTATATAGCGGTTACTATTCATCTAAATAATTATGCTTGCATGTATACATTTTATTCAGTGTTATTGTAACAGATAATTTTCTCTTACACCTTAATTGCATTTCTTGCCTGTAATACCCAGAGATCTCGTTGCTGAACTGAAGCGGTCAGTGTGTTTGATTCATCCTAGAAAGGGGCTGTATATTTTCAGTTTCCATTATGTGAACTCACATTTTTGTGGAAAAAGAAACAAATGAGACTGTTGATTTCTTTCAGTTCACCCAGCTAACTGCATTTATGCAACCCTTAACAGACAGAAAGACATATTAACAGATTGGTGCTATAGGAACCTGTGTTATTGGGAAAACAAGTCTGCTTTACTTAAATGTCATGTTACTGAGAACGTTAAATATTTTTATTTCATTTTGACCTTCAGACCAGGACTCCAAGATCCTACATATGTTCCTCCCAATGTAAGTGAAGATCTTGTACAAGGTTTGGAAAGTCAAGTGGCCAATAGCATTGCGGTCCTTAGCCACATAGTAAGTGGAACTGCAGTACCAACAGTCCCTGTGTTTGACACATTTGTCATGCTGACAGAGGATAGCACTGATGCACAACAGAACTGGGACAAGTGTGCTGAAGTATCATCTGCAGAATTTTTATGCCAGGTTGGTGAGTCTGATTTCCCTTCAGTAATGTATGAAATGTGACTAATGAATGTAATAATTGGAAAGCCCTTTGGAAATTAAGTTTTGAGGTTTTATGGCAGGGATTGTTCAGATAATTGTATGAGTTGTGAAATTATGTGGTTATGTAGGCAGATACTGCTGTTTTGAAGAATACAAGGAAGATGGACCATTGCTAGCACCCCATGGGTGTGAGAGAGGAGATGGGCCCACTCCAGGCTGATTGGAATATTAAAAAAAAAGGCCCTTTTTGAGGCCGCTAATGTTTTTTGTCACAGAAGGGGAATGGAACTGTGGGCAGTTTCTCCTCCTGTGATGAAAACTGATATTATGGTCTTGAGAGGGCTGTCTTTTCTCACAATTTCAGTTTGTGCATGGCAGAAACAATATTGCACTTTGAAATGATTATTTTCCATCTCACTGTTTCTCTTGGTTTGATCTTTGCTATATTTCCTCTGCTCTCACTGGTCTGACTATCACCTAGCCTGTGCCCTGCCTGCATAACCCAACCAGCCATTCCTTCACCCACCATACTCTAATCCTGAAAATGGAGATAGTGTATTACTCTGAAACATTGGTATCTACCTACAAGACTACAGTTTTATAACCTAGAAGACTGCAGTCTGAATCTCTGCGAATTCTTGCAAATATATCAGTAGATGAGGTAGCGTATCATAGCACATCTGCTATTAAGAATGTAGGCATGTTGTAAGTATGGTGGTGCAGCAATGATTGGAAAGATTGTGAAGGGCACAAATTGTTTGTGCATGAACTGGTATTTAATTGGCTGTCATTTTGTGTTGCAGGTGAATTCATATAGGGCATGTAGGTGCAATGTGGCCTTTTGTCACTTATTATTGTGTTTTAATATTAATTAGAAATGTTTCTAATGTTAATGTAACTGTATTTGTAAGCTTCATTTTGACATGGGGAGCTTCCATTTCTTCCGTGAAGAATATGGTGTGGCAGGGGAGCTATTTCATAAGGCTGCAGAATTGCGACAACAGTTGGGCAGTGAAGCCACTCTTTACTGTACAGTATCGACTGAGGACTTGAAAGGCTATAGTGAGGCTTGTGACATTACTTCACCAACTGTATCAACACGTAATTTAACATATCAACTGCATCGAGCAGTCAGAGATCAGTACACAGTAAGTACAAGGGTATTAATTGTAATTCATCTGAAGATTAAGTTCTTTTTATTAACACTTTAGCAAAGAACCCCAGTATTTGCAAACGGCCGTGGAGGTTTTAAATGTTAAAAGTTCAGTTTAAGAGTTTAATTTGGCAGTAGGTGACTGAAATTGTTTTTGAATCCATTTTTGCTGACTTTTGAAATCTTTGAATCTTTGAATAAACGTTTCGTTTCTCTGATCAGGTTTACCATATGTGTATTGCAAGGGTGATAGTGGTGAAATTTTCTCAGACAATGAAGGACATACAGCTGGGAGGCACACTCTTTAAACTGTGTCAGAAAGGCTGGTGGTACTTTGCTACAGTGTCAAAATCCTTCCAAAATATTTTTATGTAAATGGGAGAAACATAGTGCAGTGATCCCACTTAGTGACCAGACAAGAAGAGAGATTCAAGAGGTGCTCAGTTCAAATCTCATTGTAGGTATTGGCTATTGTGACAGGGTTTTCATAGTTTTCCTCAGTCCCGACAAGCACATGCCAGGATTGTACACTGGTTAGGTAATGATCTGTTCCTTCCAATTCATCTGTCATCCTATCATCTAGCACTACAGTCTTGTAGGATTTCAGATTCTCACAGTGTGGTTATGAAGAGTTCTGTCTTCTGGGATATAACACCGTGTTAACTGACATTTTGGAGGAGCTTATCACAAGCGGAGTAGAGCAGTGCTTCCTGCCTGCTTCATGTTCGTTTTTTGCTTAGCTTATTTTTCACCCCTGAAGACTGAGATGACATGTCCCTCCAGTTCTTCAGTTTATGTTCACTGGACTACATGGGTTATACCCCAGAAGATAGAACTCTTTATATATAGTCTTGATACTGAAAGGGTTATTAAACAATTCACAAAGGAAAAAAGAGAAGTAACATAGCAATCCAAGAAGCTAAATAGGTAAAATTGTCCCTGTATTTAATTAGTTAAGCACTATGCCATGAAGACACAGGGAATGGAGACACTAGATGGAGATGAGTATAATAACCCATGAATTTCTTAGTAACACACAGAAACAAGTTGTACGGTACATAAAATTCACCATAATTGCTTTGTCAGTTGAAGGCAAAAGGTTAAAAAAAAAAGGTAATGCTATCACTGTAATAGGCCAAGGAGACCCATAGGGTTGTGAGACATTGAGGGTCCCACATTATCTGGACAGTCAGCCTTACGCACCGGCTGCCCTTTACCCCCCAAAAAATATTTCTGGTACTCATTTCTGTTAGAGACTGAGTCAATCGAAGGGTCATAGTGCAGCTTGAAGGATTAGGTAAATTGCAAAAGTCCACCTCATCGGCACTCAAACCCATGACCTTCTGGCTTATTGCATAGTGCCTCAACCAACTACGCTACCATGTGCCCTGTCAGTTGAAGACACATGGAAGGAAAAGGACATAGTTTAATAAATCGATAAAACTATGGATACATTAGCTGAATGTCAAGAAAATGTGGTTAAAATGTACTGAGGTAATTTGGATATTTGCAAAACATGAACTGCATAATATGGTTGTACTATTAGTCATGTTAAAAATTCTTTAAATACAGAACATTTTGTTTACACTAGCAGTTTATGGACATACATTTGCTAATTATACATAGTCTTGCATTGGATTAAGTCCAATTTACAGTTTAAATGTATGACACAGTTGAATTAAATTTATTACCTTAAGTTGTTAGACTTTGTACAGGACAATGCATATTTTGAAATCTTGTGTTCTTCAGGGTATAGTATCCATCCTCCAAACTGACAATTTGCATAAGGAAATTCCACAAGTTTACCGGGATACTTTGGAGCTGGATATCCAGGGAGCAATGTCCAGTCGCAAATTTACTGTTGCGCGTGATTTGCTTCTTCAAGTTCAGACGTTGAATGTTGTACGAAGGGCACTCACAGGCACACTGACTTGTGGTGATTACATCTACAAACTGCGTCAAGGTGGCTCTAAGGCCGTTGACTTACTTATCACTGTGAGTACAATTAGAAGATTTTCAGTTTACTATTGTAAGAATTGCTGTATTTATTAGAATACCTCATGCTTCCAAAGAAGAAATAGATTTCATTTATTTATATTTTACTTATGAAATATTTTGTCTATTATTTTTACTTCATAATTGCATTTCACTCATTTCCTGTGGAAGTAAAAGCACACTTCTCATCAGGGTTTGAAATGTGTATGTATGAATATTTGTAGACAGAAGGAACATTATTGAATGAATCAAACTTCCGTAAGTACCCATCATTACACACTGCTTCACTTAATGCATGCTTCAGTCTGTTGTTAGCATTGCTTAGTATATATTACTAAACAGCAGTGGTAAAGGATGGCAGTTGTAACATTGACTGCCCAGAGGGCTCTGTAAATCTCTGCTCATGACTCTATATCCACACCACTGTTGCTTTATTACACAACTGAATATTTAATTTTCTAATGCCACATTTTTAGTTTAAAGCCTTCTATAATAGCATTCTTAATACACCACGACCATGTCCGTGAGTGTGTACAGGAAAATTTTAATGCCCTGCAGTGAAGATTAATGTCTTGGTGTTTGTTAATCAATGATTCAAAGGCATTCTTTTCTAAATTTATATCAAAGTTTGTACTCTTTGGCCTTTTAATTGTATTTTTACAATTATCTGTCATAACACATTATTCATACGTTCTCTAGGCACTGAAACATATACTACCACATTCTAACTTAGCAGAAAAGAATAATATAAAGTTGTTTGTGATGCAACTGGTGGAATGTGGTGACATAGAAGGTTTGCTTGAACGGCTTCTGTCATGTGAGTTTCTGACAGATCTCCTCTCACCCAGGGAGATAGAGGAGATATCCAGTAAAACAACAGCTGTAGGACAAGATCTTGTGAATATCCCAGAACTGCTACTTAAAACTGAGTGGGACATGCCAGACTTTGCAGTTTGCAGTAAGTAACTGGTTTAGCATATCTACAATTTCATTTCATTTTCTGTATGCATTTGGGTGGGGGGTGGGGGGGCTTAAAAATCATGTGTATTAAGAATCAACTATGTTGTTCATGTTGTAGCATGTAGGCCTGTTGCTAGGGTGATGTAAACAGTACTTTTCATTCCTAGTGCGGTGGGACTAAGTCCCTTGTACTGCGGCCACTTCTGGCCTATTGTGCCAGCCCCAGATGATAGGTGAGGGTGATTGTGGAGCAATTGGTGGAATGAAGATTGGCAGGGGAAACCGAAGTACTCGGAGAAAACCTGCCCCAGCGCCACTTTGTCCACCACAAATCCCACTTGACCGAACCCGGGCTGCCATAGTGGGAAGCCAGCGACTAACTGCTTGAGCTGTGGCGCTGCCCACATAAACAGTAACAAAGGAATGGTGTTTTCTGTGTGGCCTGCACCAGTGTCTGCACACTCAGCAAAGGCACAGCAACAGAGGAACAGTGTTTTCAGTGCAGTCCATGCCAAGATGTTATAAGCAGGACAGAGTTAGTGTTTGTGTAGTGGAGTTAGTTAGGTAGAGGACCGTTGCGGTTCAGTCCTTGCAAGCTGGTAGCTGAGGCACAGACAGTTCAGGAACCCAGAGGAAGGGGAACGCCCACCATTGAAAACGATTACCAGAAAACTGGTGAAGACACAGCAGATTGAGAAGACTTAGTATGTGCAGTGAGCTGCAGAGTATGTGAATCAGCAATACTGCAGTACTTACTTGTATAGTTATGATCTGTAAGTGTTCAGTAATTCCAGTTACCAATCCAAACCCTGTCTATAGTCACTCCATAAAATTGTGACAAAATGCATTTGGTCCCTTCACACACTTTCATCATGTCTTCCCAAACATATACCCATCTCAATATGGCTGTGCCAAAGGGACTTCAAAATCGCTATCAAAGAACGTAGGAAATGGAGAATATATGACTAAAGGCTGAGGAACATGTACGCACATGCATTGTAAAACAAAGAATAATATTAACATTGTAAGTGAAAACATAAAAGCTGTGAAGCAGGAAAGGAACATTATGCTAATACACATATTTATCACAATTTGAGCCATCTATAGTCTGAGGATTTTAAAAGGTAAAGGCTAAAAGCCGCACCCTAGCTCAAGCAGTTAGTCGCTGGCTTCCCACCGCGATGGCCTGGGTTCGATCCTAGGTCTGGTCAAGTGGGATTTGTGGTGGACAGAGTGGCACTGGGGCAGGTTTTCTCTGAGTACTTCGGTTTCCCCTGCCAGTCCTCATTCCACCAAATTCTTCATCATCATAATCACCCAGGGCAGGCTATAGTAGGCCATGCCATGCCAAGTGGACCCAGTAGGACTCTGTCCCCCCCCATCCACCAAGTGAGTTAAAAAAATCCTCTGTGCTTGTGTATGGAAGTGAAAACTGGGCTCTGAATAGATCCAAAGGGAGGAAAATTGAAAGAGCAGAAATGTACTTTTTAAGGCATGTCTCTTGTTATACACTTACAGACCATGTATTCAGTATAGCAATACAGAGTGCATGACAAATACATGCTTTAGAAAAAGGAATCCAAGACTACAAGAAACAAGTGGTATAAGTACATCTTAATGATGGACCCTTCAAGACTGACCCAGAAAGTTAAAATTACCAGCCAGCCACATGAAGAAATGTTGATGACTAAGAAGGTGGTGGGAGAAGAGTCTTTGAGGTGGAATAGCCCACTGAAAGCTTACTTTAAGTTAGATGATGATTCATCAAAATTCCTGACATAATTTGGAATCATCTCCATACTGCATATCCTTTGCAGATGCAGAAGTTGGCCAGTACTGGTCAGAATGTCCCTGTTGTGTTTAATTCTCACTTTGTGATGTTCAGAGAGTTCCATGAATGAGAAAGTTTGGAAATCTCTTATATGTATAAAATCAGGCTTAGTATCTTATATCCAGAATTCTGAATCCCTATAATCTGTGAAAATAACCTATGAAAAGGCAGAAATTTAATATTCATATAAATAATTTGCAAATATTTGCCCATATTTTACAGTCTTTACTTCCTAGATGATGTGTCAAAATAGTTGTGTATCCTAAAAATTATTTGTTTGCAGGTACACTGATTTAAGATATTACCTTGAAATTGTATCATGTTTTATTTTGTCTTACTTGATGGTAGAGAGCTGAATGTGACCAGTCTTCAATTTTTTTGTTTCTGGTGATGATTTCTTAAGATTTAATTACACTGAAGCATATTGGATATATAAGGACCTTCAGTACTAATGTCTGCATAAGGTTTCCTGTAGGAAGATGTAAAAAGGGCTCAATGCTGGTAGGAAGGGAGGTGAAATTTATGTCTGAAGCATTATCAACAAAGGTTTTTACATTCCTACAGTTTCTCGGGCTTTTTACCATATAATTACAGAGAATGCAAGACTGGAAATTGGAAGCCTGGAACAACAGTTGTTATTGAGCTATGATTCATCTGAAATTAGAGGGATTGTAGAGAAACTTGTTTCTGCTAATCCAATGAAACCACAGTGGAGAATCAGCAACAAGGTATATTTTTTGTGTTAATAATTTTTGCCATTGGAAAGGCAGTAATGGCACTGTTAGAGGGTCTATTTATGATATGTGCACTCTGTCCATTACGTGGTTGATGTTTGTTTGAACATCAACTGTTGAGGGATATCATTACATGAAATTGCCATTTGTTGCGCCTGTACAGTAGTTATATTGCAGTAAAAACCAAATTAAAAATCTTACACTACTAATTATGTNACTGGGATTTTTACATTTTTAACAAGCAGTGTAACAGTTACGTGAGTGATACACACCTGATGATGGCCATTTAGGGCTGAAACATGTAGTGTGGAGGAGGAAAAAGAAGTAAAAACTACAATAAAATTGTTGCACTTAAGACGGTATTTGTCCATATATAATTATGTGTTATATGAATGTGAAGTACAGTATGCACCAAAATATACAGTACTGAAACTCGCGCATCTAGAATGCATATGTCCATTTGTTGATGGGGCATAGCTCCAGCTGCACGTGTTCCCAGTAGGGAAAAGGAAGTTTTGTTGTGCAGTAGCTGTTGGAAATGGGTCTCTTGACAGAGGAAAAATTATTCATAGTTGAGTATTATTTCCACTCGTACGGAAGTGGTCACCAGGCAAGTTGCTTCCTTTGTTTTGAGTGGCCAGATGTTATCGTCCAGAAACCGCTACATAATACACATGTGACAGTATGGTGTGCCGTCTCAGCACATGGTATGTTAGGCCCCTATTTCATTGAGGATGAGGAAGACAGTGCTCTTACTGTCTCCCAACAAGGTTACAGGGAAATGGCGATTGAACCATTTCTTCAGGATTTGAGACGGTTCTGTCATGCAAGGTGCCTTCACATGAATAGACGGTGGTATCAACAGTACGTCTTTTCATTTCAGTACTGAAATTTTTAGCGCATACTGTATTTGCAGTATGTACTGCAGTTAATGTACACACACAATTGACTTCAAGGTCATTTCATTTCACCATTCAGTCTGATTCACTTCTATCATTTCTGTTGTCAGTACAGTCTATCACACATTCTTCAGAAACGCTGGAAGCTTCTTCCAGTAATGCACATTTTTACAGCCCATAGGACCACGGTGTATGAGATTGCCATGAAACCTACAATCTTTTACAGTATTCATAAATATTTGCAATACAGAACAGGTTAGGATATGTATGTATAGAATAACAATTCTGTCATGTTCACACTGTTATTGTGTTTAAATTTTAAAAATACCCTGCGCTTATTTAACTCCAAAATTGTAAGACTTACAGAAAGCATGCATTTAACATAAAGTGTGTTTCATCTTTTCTTCAACTTTTGTTTGAAATACCTTTAAGCCCAGTAAATATTTACACTCAAAATGCATACAGAAATTCATGTCAGTCTTCATGTGAAGGGTGTGTTATTGCTTTCAAATTGTGACAAGAACCCAATTGTAGTGACAGATTTTAGTAAAACATTCTGTTATCAAATTTCATGAGAATCTGTGCAAAGGTTCTTTAGTTGTTTCATGTATGCAAGGAGATGGATGGCTCAAGTGATTTTAATGAATGCTCCACAGCCTCAGGCACACCTTAAAATTATGTAGAGCCTAGACTTTGTAAATTTGCTTGCAGTTATAATGACCTTTGTTACAGTGGGAATTACCAATCCCCCTTCAGAGTATGGCAATGACATTACCAAGGGGATTTGTACAAGATTTTGCATATATCTTACTGGCAAAGTCACGAGAGCTAACTACAATGAAGGTAACTGAATCCTATAATTGCAGTAATGGTATGTCTTTGGAATATATTAATTCCAGTAGTAAAAAGCCTTTCTTTTTGGATAGAAATCATTATGAATTGATCATGTCTGCTTAATCATTTAAAGGCATGCCACTCATTGCACATGTCGGAATTACTTGATCAGCAGAAGTAAGGTGTTGCAGCATACTTATACATCTGGTTTTCTATTAATATAAGAATATCCTTGTCTGCTTGTGTAAGGATGCTCTAAGCCAGTGATTTTCAACGTTTGCTGATACACAGGCATTGTATATGGTACAATAGTAGTTTTCAAGTCTAATTTTTATTGGCACATCTAAAACATGTTTATTTTCACTGTAGAAATGAACACTGTTATGTGTTATTAAAGTCAAAGACATAGCAGTGAACCACACTGAACATGACAATTAGTAGGAAAGATTTAAAATATGTATCAGTATTCCAGGAATCTTTATTTTGCAACATATCTCTGCCTCCGCATTCTGACAAATGCAGCAGTCTACTTCAAAACTGTTGCGTTTTCTTCCTCACCAGTCAGCCAAACATATCATTTAACATTGCAAATGGTAGAGAAGAAAAAGAAATAGTTTGATACAATCTTATCACCAGGAGGAAGTGAAAAACAGATAAAGTCAGTAGTTGTAGAACAGGCAGGGTGGTGCACACATGCATGTGCATGCACACATATGGTGAAATTAAATTCACACAGAAGCTCTCCATAGTGTGATTCTTCATAAAAAAAAGTAAAAAATGTTTTCCAACATGTCCTGAGTGGCTTCATTTTGGAAATACACGTCACTCTCAAATAGGGTAACATACTTCTCAGTAGTGTTGTTACAGTGATACATGGTGCATTTTTAGCTGTACTCAAGTGTACTCAAGAGAGACAGTGCACAGCAGGGATCATTTGTGATCAAATGATCATGTACTAAACACAGTTGGATTGTAAGACTTTGCCCTGTCCACAATAGACAGTTTTGTTATGATCTTTAATTTAGTCCCTCTTCTTACTGTTTAGGTAGCTTATTTTATCTTGATCAAAATTGTGTGTGTGGTGTGTTATGGTCAAGATGAATGTATTTTGTGTAGTCCAGTATCTCTTGCTGCTATGTCCAGAAACTGGAAATCCCTTTGAAATATTATGTTAGAACTTCTGAAGAAAATTCAAGTTTTCTCAAGAATGTCACTAAAGGTGAAGAAATACAGTAATATAACAGCATTTATTTATATATTTACTTGAAGGAAGCAATGTTTCAAATGCAGTTTGTTCAACTCTATTAGGTGAGGAGTTATGGATTTAAAGTTGAACATTTCATGGCTGTTGAAACCTTAAGTGCAGATTCTGAATCCTTCCTGGAATATGTTTGATTAATACATGTAACTGCTTATGCTTCTGTATTTTCATTCAGGACTTCAAGCTGGCCACAGAATTTTTAACTGCTGTGGAAAATGAGGCTCGCAACAGCTCTGTAAATTCTGGAACATTGTACAAACTGGTTCGTTTATTATCATGGGAGACTCTACTCATACAGATTATTGAGTTCTTAACAGAATGGCCCAACCACAAATTAAGTAAGTCTAATATATTGATTTATATCCAACATTTGCCGAAGGGCACAATGCAAAGCATGTCATTCTTTTCTAGAAGCCTCTCATTTATTCCTCCAAGGTTTATGATTCAGTTTATTAAATTTACATTAATTCTCCGGTTGCCCATTAATCGGCTTAATCATTTCAGTTCTAGTCTTCCAAGATTCTATGTGTCCAAAGTATGTCACACTTTTATCTCTTGAATTTCACAGATAGTTGTACATTAGTCCCAAGTCGCGATAATTTGTGTTTAGCTATAACTGTTTAGAAGTTGTTGATTATAATAGAACAGTATGAGAGTAGCATACAGTAATCACCATAGTGACTGCCATGGGAACGTCAAATCTCACCATTTCCATGATATTCAGGCATCAGAGATGCATCTTAAAAGATCTGAAAAGTGTCAACAATCCTGTTAGGAGGACTTGCCCACCACCCCACCCACAATACAAGTTACATAAGCTCCATGAATTCAAATCTTCCACACATACTGTGCCTTACTGAACATCACATGAAACAGCTGGAATTAGAACATCTTCACTTAGAAAATTATAATTTAGGTGCTAGATACTGTAGGAAAACACTGGAGAAAGGAGGAGTGAGTATTTTTGTACATGAAAACCTAAAATTTACTAAAATAAATTTAGAAGATTATTGCAAAGACCAGGATCTGGAAGCATGTGCTCTAAAGTTAGACTCTCCTTTTTCTAATATTTGTATACTGACTTTATATAGAGCCCCATCTGGAAACTTCGATCACTTTATAAATAGATTAGAAACCATCCTAAATGTACTGCATAGTTCAAAAGTTGAATTTATAATTTGTGGTGATATAAATATAAACTATCTCATC